CCGATGCTTCGGTGCTGAGGGTCGACGTGGGGCCCGATTTGCACCGAGCGCGTGCCACGACTCGCAAAGTGGCGAATGAGGTGTTCGATCCTGGGCCCGTTTGTGGAACGCAGCCCATCCAGGCTTCGCGCCAGAGACCGCCAGACGACCGCCGAAGACCGTCAGAGGACCGCCGAAGACTGCCGCCGAAGGCCGTCAGAAACCGTCCGGAGACCGCCGAAAACAGCCCAAGAGCAACGGGTATCCAGGGGTCCATGGTCGAACACGTAACGTCGAGCCGCATCGCCGATGCCTCGGCGATGCGGCTCGTTGTGGGGCCCGATTTTCACTGAGCGCGCTCTACTACTCGCAAAGTGCCTGCTCGCAAACGTCAGACAAACACACACGTGTGCCTCGATGTAATGCATCGCGGATCCCCCGCGGCGGATCCAGGCCATTTGCGAGTAGTTACTCTGCGAGCAGTGGAACGCGCTCGTCGGCGCATCCCTTCCCAAGGGTACCCGTGCATCCTTGCCTCCCCGGCCCCTCCTCGGCCACCTTCGCTGGCCGCGCCCCGCTCGAAATGCCTCAAGATGGCCTTCCGAGGCCCCTGCATCCTTACCGCGCACCCTCATGATACGGGCCGGGCTGTGCTCCGCGCCGACGTCGTCGGTGCCTCGGCGATGCGGCGGGATATCCCCCGGCCCTGGCCGCTCGGGCCCCGCCTGGGGGAAGGCCGCCCTGGTGCCGCCGCCGCTCTCGCGCGCTCCGCGGAGTTCGGGCCGGACGGAGGAGGGGGTGCACACGCCGGTCGTTGAAAGCAGTTGCTGTTGGAGTCCCAGATCCCAGTCCAACTACTTCAAGCGCCTTCCTACTTCAAGAGCCGATCTGCTTGTGCTGTGCTTTTTAAAAAACAAATCTCTGGGAGGGTCTGAGCCCAACCTACTTTATCCGCCTTCCTACTCAATGCTTTTACCCACTCAATCGGGCATGCCCCTCGACAGGAGGAATGTTCAAGGATAGTAAACAAGTAGTCTTGTGACGATGTTTCGTGCTCTTTTGGCTATGTCTGATCATGTTTTGATGTTTCATTCTCTTTCAACATCCGCCTGTAGGGGGACCTGCCCGACCTAAGGAAAAGGGGGGACGCAGTCTGCTGCGTGCAGCTGGTTTCGGCCCCGCCGCCGCGCGCTTCCCCCGATGCATTGGCGCCTCTGGCGCCGGGAAGCGCTGAGAAGATCGGCCACGTGAGCTGAGTTGCCAACCTCCCCCTTTACTCAGCAGGCGAAGCCCGCCTTACAACAAACTGTTTCTCGATCGGGGACGCCTGGTCCTGGGCGGCTGGAAGGTTTACACCCCAGCCGCCACCGCAAGGGTGTAAGCTACCCAGGCGGCCTGGGACAAGCGTCCACGAGGTTAAGATTGTCTAACCTACTTTAGCTTTGATCGCAAGAACGGCTTTCGAGCACCAAGGAAGTATCGAAACTTGAGGGTCTTCGCGTGTCGGACCCTGGGAGGCGATACCCCTTCGACACTTCGCCAGCATGTCGGGCAGACACTGCTTCGATACCCTCCTGGCTGCTCGAAACCATTTCTGGAGTATGGTCCCTGAGTACGGGGGGGAGGGCAGCGCAGCCCCGATGGTGGAAAAGTCGTTTCTGTTCTGTTCTGCGCCCGCTGATTTACGGCAGCCCCTCCGCCCCCTTGGGGGGCCTCTTGCGGCGGAGGACCTGGCTGTTCGGCTCGTGCTCCCTCTCCTGGGCCCCCCCCCCATGGGGGGGCCGTCTCGGGGCCCTCCCTGGGCCCTCTCGGGCGCCCGCTCGTTTGCGATCCCCCCACCCCCCCCCCCCCTTCCGTCCGACCCGCGTCCATGGCCGCGCCGCGGCCGCCGCCCGCCCCCCGCGGGCGCCCGCGCCCCGCCCGCGCCCCGCCCGCGCTCGTCCTGGGCGCGCTGCTGGCCGCCGCGGCGCTCGGCCCGCGGCCCGCGCGGCACGCCGCCTTCGCGGCGCCGCGGCGGGCGGGGCCGGGGCTCGGCCTCGGCGGCGCAGCGGCGCCCAGCGGCCCGGGAAGCTCACAAAGGGGAGGGGGGGAGCCCGTGCCAAGAAGCACCCCGCTGGCCTCCAGGGTGCCCTGGTTTTGTTAGGGGGGGGTCGGCGGTTTATGCCATGGGAGGCGTGGCGTTCCCACACCAGGGATCCATGGACGTCCTGGGGTCCTCAGGGTTGGGTTTCTTGTGGAAGGTTTCTGTTGGACTGGCCTCCACTGTAGCTGCCCCGATACGCTCCTTTTGAAACGCAGCACGTTACGTTGCATCTTCGGTGGGGCCTCGCCTGTCCCCCAAGCTGGCGTCTTTTCCTGTGCCCGACGCGGGCTCGATGCGGACTCGACGCGGATTCGGCGCTGATTCGACGCGGATTCGACACGGATTCGACACGGATCCGACGAGGGCGACATGTATTCGACACGGACTCGACGCGGATAGAGCCGCGACGAGACAGACACGGTCCCCCAAAGATGCAACATCAAGCACGCACCGTGCTCAACACGTCCGCGTGAACACGCCGCGTGTTGGTTCAGCGCGTAGGCCCACGTTTTGGCGGGCGTGTCGTACCAGGCGTATGTACGTTTTCAAGATACGTGTTGAGTTCCGTGGCAACACGCTACGCGTTGCGTGCGTGTTGCGTATCGGGGCAGCGCAGGCCCGAGAAGAAAGCAGACCGCATCCTTGACATTCGAGGCCTCCCAGATGGGGTCCCAGCAGATGGGGTCGGAGGGTCGCTCCGCATCGCCGATGCATCGCCGATGCGGCTCGGTGTGTAGCCCGATTTTCTTCGCGCGGGTATCGACGATGCATCGCCGACATCACCGATGCATCGCCAATCAACGATGCGGCCTCGGCGGCGCAGCGGCGTCCACAGGCGAAAATCAGTCGACGCGGAGATCTCCAATTTTTATGTGCGTCTATTTGCCCACACATTTCCCACTGCGAGTGTCTGCGTGCGGGAGAGTCTAAACATGAAGTGGTATGAGTATCCTAATCTGGGAACAGGTGAGTCTGAATGTGAGTGAGTCTGAGCGTGAGAGGTCAGAGGGTATTTGAGTGCGCGTGGTATGTGATTGAGCGTGAGCGTGAGAGGTCTGAGAGCGTCTGAGTGTGAGTGTGGATGTGAGTTGTCTGCATGGTCGTAGTGTGAGCGCGTGTGGTCTGGTATGAATGGCCTGAGTATGAGTGTGAGCTTAGACTACGTGTACTTGGCAGCGAAACAGGCAGAACGCATGAGACATCCCCACGATGTGGGCCCCTAGGGGTGCTGGAACCGGCGCTCCGTTTGAGACATCCTCACACGCTGTTTTGAACGCAGACGAGTCGGGGTCCGAAACATTCAAACCGCTTGGTGCTCGTTTTTTATTCATTGTTTTGCCGATCGGCGCGGGCCCTCGCACCCCCCCTCCCCCCACCCTGGAGTGGATCTTGGATCGGCGCGGGCCCCCCCTCTAGGACGCACTGTTGCAAACAGTCGCACTAAGGAGAGGTCCGGAGCCAGATCCCCCCCTCCCCCCCCGTTCCTCCCAATGTCGAAACGCCGAAGAGAAAACCCTCACCCCCGCAGTTCGGGCGCGAATGGGCCCGTGATGTGCCCCTCGGCGGCTCCCCCTCGGGGCGCTGGAGCCAGCGCCCCGCCTGAGACATCCTCCCTGCTCCGACTGCAGAGGATATTGCGCATGCGCGCAGGCACAACGCTTGAGGCATCCCCACGATCTGGGCGCGAATCCTGGAGTGTCTCCACCCTGGCGGCTCCCCCTTCGAGATTCTGAAACCAGCGCCTCGCCTGAGACATCCTCTCAAACTGCCCCGAAAGCAGAGGATGATGCGTATGCAGGCAAACCGCTTGAGGCATCCCCACAATCTGGGCGCGAATCCTGGAGTGCCCCCACCCTGGCGATCCCCGTTGGGAGTGTTGGAACCAGCGCCCCGCCTGAGACAGCTTCACCGACTTCTCCGACAGTACAAGATGCTGCGCATGCAAACAGGCAAACCGCCTGAGACGTCCCCGCAATCTGGGCGCGAATCCTGGAGTATCCCCTTCCCTGGCGGTTTCCCCGTAGGGTGCCCAAGTGCCACGCCGGCTTTATCTCGGTGAGCATTGAGTGTTAGGGAGCCTTAGTGAGTCTGAGTGTGAGTGAGTTTGAATATGAGCGAGTATGAGTATGAGTGAGTCTGAGTATGAGTGCGTCTGAGTGTGAGTGAGTCTGGGCATGTGTGAACCTGAGTATGGGTGAGTGAGTCTTGGGGAAGAGAAGGGGGAGGATGAGAGGTGTGATGGGGAGCAGGTCCGGAGCCGTCTCAGTAGTAACAAGAACCCCCATCTTATTATACGGGGCGGCGAAATCCGAACCCTACCCTCGCCGATCAGCGATAAACGAAAAAAAAACAACATGCAGAACATACGGTCGGAAACTTTTGGATGGCGTGTCGCGCCGCCGATTCTGGCCGCCGCGGCGACACGCTGAGAAAAAGCTTCCGACCGTAACACATCGGTGGCAAAATCTGAACCCTACCCTCACTGATCAACGATTCGGAATCGATGGTTTGTTGGGGTAGGGCTCGGATTTCGCCACTTAACGTCTGCTTTCAGAGGTTCGCGCGGTCTTTTGGGATCGGCGCTGGAGGCCCTCTTGGCAGCGCCTCCAGGGCCGTCCCTTGCGCGCTCCGCGCTGCCAGGGGGGGCTCCAGCGCCTCTCCCTCATCCAGTGAATCCGCGCGGACCTCCAGAAGAAGACACTTATCCCAACGCCGACCCCAAATACAGTAGAGGCTGATACGCAGGTCGGCCCTGCGAAGTCAGGGTGCCTTTGTGTCCTGTGCTTCGCGACCCAGGCCCTTCTGCATTCCTGAGGCGGTGTGGCCCTCGGAAAGGGTTGTAAGTCCTCTCGCGTGTCCTCTCCAGTCGAGTGTTCGCTGATTTCTTCTGAGGCCTGCACGGAAGCTAACATTTCTGTTGTTGTTCTTCTCCTGGCAGGGTGGGGCCGCACGGCCGCTGCGCCCTCGGCCACCACGGCATCGCCGCTGGCACGGCGCATCTTCGGCCTGGGGACCTCGGAAATTTTGGTCATCCTTGCCATTGGTGCGCTGGTCCTCGGCCCCGAGACGCTGAAGAGCGTCGCCAAGGAGGCTGGCAAGGCTGCGTCCGACTTGAAGGACGTGCCCGACGCCTTCCAGGAGGGCATCAACCAGGGGAAGGCGCTGGAGAGCAAGGAGGAGCCAGAGAAGAAATCGAAGGAGTCCGACTCAGCTGCCGGCAAGACTGCCGCCGGCGACAAAGTCGCAGAGAAGGCCTGAGAGGGCGACGCGAGCCTGATTTGATCAGGACGCTTGCGCATGACGCGCTTGTTCTGGCGCGGGCATCGGCAGCAACAGCAGCATTTCGCACCAGAGCTTGTACGGTAACGTATGACACTGCGTAATCTAACTGGAAAGAGTTTGGACCGCTATCTGGACGCGGAGGCGTGTGCTCTTCCGCGCAATCAACTGGGAACCATCGAGGCCATTGTTCCAACTAAGCTCGAGCTTAGTCAGGCCTGTTTTTTTTTGAGCCGCGTGATTGCGGCAATCCTTCTGCCACGTCGAGCAGGGTACAATGTAAAAGCCGCCCAACAGCACCCCCTCCTACCTTTCTTCCTTGGGGCCGAGGAAGAGGAGGAGCAGCAGAAGGAAGATTATGTTTTTGGAATGCACGAAGGGGGGAGTTGAGCTGGAGGCAGACACGGGTAGGCGAGGGTGGCGCGGTCGAAGGAGGAGGCAGTGTACACCCCATATCTTGATAGTGGTTTCTCGTGATTCCCCTTACTTATCCTAAGGATAGGGGTGTTGTTATTACTCTGACGGCGCCGACTCCTCCTCATCACCTTCCTTCTCTTCCCCTCCTTTCGTATGATGCATGATGATGCTGCCGACGATAACGATGATGTTGCTGCTGCTGATGATGATGCTGATGCTGGTGCTGGTGCTGATGATGATGATGACGATGATGATGATGATGATGATGATGATGATGATGATGATGACCATGGTGATGGTGATGGTAATGATGACGATGATGACCATGGTGATGGTGATGGTGACGACGAGGACGACAATGATGCTGATGTTGATGCTGATGGGCATGAGTATGGTGTTGTTGATGATGACGGTGATCTTGATGATGATGGTGACAATGACGATGAAACGACGACAAAGATGGCGATGATGAGGAGAAGGGGGAGGAGGAGGGGGAGGATGATGATGACGATGATGACACTGATGACCATGATGAGGAATATGATCAAGATGATGAGGATGACGATGATGATGATGATGATGATGATGATGATGATGATGATGATGATGATGATGATGTTGATTATGATCATCATCATGACCATGATCATGATGATGCTGATGATGTTGATGATGATGCTGATGATGCTGATGATGCTGATGACCATGATCCTGATCATGATGATGATGACGATGATGACGATAAGGAAAACGGTAATGAAAATGATGATAAGGATGGGTTTCTTTCGGGCGAGGCGCTGGTTTCAGCACGCCAGGGGGCCTAGATTGCACGGATGTCTCGAGCGGTTTGTTTGCATTGGTGTCCGGACTCGTCTGCGTGACTGCGGCAATCCTTCTGCCACGTCGAGCAGGGTACAATGTAAAAGCCGCCCAACAGCACCTCCTCCTACCTCTCTTCCTCGGGGCCGAGGACGAGGAGGAGCAGCAGAATCAAGATTATGCTTTTGGAAAGCACGAAGGGGGGAGTTGAGCTGGAGGCAAACACGGGTAGGCGAGGGTGGCGCGGCCGAAGGAGGCGGCAGTTTACACCCCATATCCTGAGTTGGGTGTCTCGTGATCCCCCTTGTCCTAAGGATAGGGGTGTTGTTATTACTCTGACCGCGCCGACTCCTTCTCACCTCACCTTCCTCCTCTTCCCCATTCTCCTCTCGTATGATGCATGATGATGATGCTGCCGACGATTATGATGATGATCATGATGATGATGATGATGATGATGATGATGATGATGATGATGATGATGATGATGATGACAATGGTGATGATGGCGATGATGATGACAATGGTGATGACGATGACGATGACGACAATAGTGCTGATGTTGATACTGATGGGCGGGATCATGGTGCTGTCGTTGATGATGACGGTGATCTTGATGATGACAATGACGATGAAACGACGACAAAGATGGCGATGATGATGAGGAGGAGGGGGAGGACGAGGATGACGATGATGACACTGATAACCGTGATGAGGAATATGATGAAGACGATGATGATGATGATGATGATGTTGATGATGACCATGATCATGACCATGATCATGATGATGCTGATGATGATGTTGATGATGATGATGATGATGATGATGCTGATGATGCTGATGGCCATGATTATGATCACGATGATAATGACGATTTTGATGATGATGATGATGATGATGATGATGATGATGATGATGATGATGATGATGATGATGATGAAAACGGTAATGAAACTTATGATAAGGATGGGTTTCTTTCGTGCTAGGCGCTGGTTTCAGCACGCCAGGGGGCCTAGATTGCACGGATGTCTCGAGCGGTTTGCTTGCTTTGGTGTCCGGACTCGTCTGCGTTCAGAGCGGGTTCTGAGGATGCTTCGGGCGAACAGTTGATTTCAGCACATTTGGGGGAGGGCGCCAGAGGGGGTATGACACGAGCCCGTTCACGCCCAGATTGCAGGGGCGTCTCGAGCCGTTTGCTTGTTTACGTGCCCAACATCCTCCGCTCCTGGAGCAGAGTTTGCGGATGCCTCGGGCGAGGCGCAGGTTTTCCCACCCTGGGTGGCCCAGATTGCGAGGAAGTCTCGAGCGGTTTGCCTGCTTTGGTGGCCAGATTCGTTTGCGTGCAAAGCAGATTCTGAGTCTCGGGCAAGGCGCTGGTTTCAGCACGCAAGGGGAAGCAGCCAGGCGGTATCTCATTTCTCCATTCGCGGCCAGATTGTGGAGATGCTTCGAGCGGTTGACCCCAGGAGGCTCCAGGAGGAGGAGGCCCCGGGAGGCCCCACGAGTCCCCAGGAAGTTCCAGAAGGCCCCAGGAGGCCCCAGGAGGCCACAGGAGTGGCTCCAATACAAAGTGTTTTACTTATGTTCCTACAGACTGGGCTTCTCCGTAGGCACGAACCCTTCAATGGTTTACATTTGTTCCTATAGATTGCCCTTCCTGCGTGGCTCCAGTCCTAAGTAGTTCCCGCGTGTTCCTATATAATGGGCCTCTCCTGTGGCACGAATCCTTGGTGCGCCACATTTGTTCCTAAAGAGTGCCCCTCTCCTGTGGCTCCAATCCTCCGTGTTTACGTGTGGCGTTCCTAAAAAGATTGGGCATCTCCTGGCGCACGAATCAGGAGGTCCCAGGAGGCTCCAGGAGACATCCAGAGGCCCCAGGAAATCCCAGGAGGCCACATGAGGCACCAGGGCGCCCCAGGATGCTCCAAAAGGTCCCAGGAGGCCCCAGGAGGCATAACGATGCCCCAGGAGGCCCCAGGAGGCCACACGAGGCCCCAAGAGGCATCAGGAAGCACCAGGAGGCTGCGGGAGGCCCCAGGAGGCCACAAGAGTGGCTCCGATCCCAGGTGTTTTACGTATGTTCCTAAAGATTGGGCCTCTCCTGGGACACGAATCGTTTGTGTTTTCGCATGCTCCTATAGATCAACCCCTCTCCCTCGGCTCCACTCGCAGGTGGTTTACGTATGTTCCTATGGATTGGGCCTTTTCTCAGCGGCGTGGCCGGCTGTACCACGGTCCAGCCATTGCGTGAGATGTTTTGGGCCAGCCAACCAAGCGCAAGGGTCGCACGACGCTTGCATGAGCACCTTTATTCTTCGCGTCGTCATGGAGGGAGGGATCGCGTAGCCATTTCGACTCAGTCACACCCAGTCATGCTCAGGCCACTGACGTGGTGATACACTCGTCCTAAGTTTAGACATACTCCGATTCATGCGCATAGACTCACTCGTGCGACTGAGACTCACTCACACTCCAATTCATTCACGGTTACACTCACTCCCAGTGTGTCAATTTTCAAGCCCATCTATGGCCGAAGTCCTTTGCGCCTAGACATTCATGGCGGAATAACCCCCCTTATGCGCATAGATGCACACATGGAGAGCTTTACGCAGTGCAGGATCATTCAGACAATGGCGACCCTCCCTCCCTCCTTCCCAACCTGCCTCCTTCTCCATGTCCCGCACTCACACTCTCTCAGCACACCCAGACTCACTTATAACACTCAGACTCGCGCCCTCTCAGACTCGCTTATACATAGATTCATTCATGCTCAGGCCCACTCATGTTTAGACCTGTTCGCATTCAGATTCGCTCCTGCCCAAAGCCATTCATATTCAGACGCGCTCTTCATCATCCGGACTCGATCCATGATTTTTCAATCAGACCTCACTTGTATCCAGGATCCTTCACTCGCGCAGACTGTGAGGACGTCTCCAGCGAGGTGCTGGGCCCATTCGCGCCCAAGGGGTAATTACACGGGCCCGGTCGCGCCCAGATATTGTGGGAAGTGTCGGGCGGTTTGCTTGTTTAGGTGTTCGGGCGCTGCACATCCCTTGCGTTCAGGTCGGGTGTTCGGGTGTTGTTTGCTTGTGTCGTGGTGTTGTTTGCCTGTTCGGGTGTTGTTTGCTTGTTCGGGTGTTGTTTGCTTGTTTGCTTGTTCGGGTGTTGTTTGCTTGTGCTTGTTCGGGTGTTCGGGTGCTGCACATCCCTTGCTTTCAGGTCGGGTTGTGGGGACGTCTCGGGCGAGGCGCTGGCTGCAGCATTCCAGGTTGGAGCCGCCAGGGGGTATTGCACGGGCGCGTTCGCGTCCAGATTGTGGGGATGTCTCAGGCGGATTGTCTGTTTGGGTGCTCAACATTATGTGTTGTCATAGCAGGTTGTGAGGATGTTTCAGGCTAGGCGCTGGCTTCAGTACTTCAATGGGGAGCCGCCAGCGTGTATTGCACGGGCCCGTTCGCGCCCAGGTTATGGGGATGTTTCGGGCGGTTTGCTGGTGTGGGTGCGCAACATCTTGCGTTTTCGGAGCATATTGTGAGGATGTGATGTCTCAAACGGTTTGCCTGTTTCGCACCCCCCCCAGGCTTGTCTGTGGATTCGTAAGACCTGGACGCGTACGGACCTCACTCTCTTACTCACTCACCTCCCCCTCGTCCTCGTCCTCGCTCAGACGCATTCACACTCAGAACTACTCATCATCATCTCCTCCTTACCAGGGCTCACAAATCACACTCAGACTCCACCATACTCAGACTCACTCATGTCCAGACTCGCTCGTATTTAGATTCGCTCACATTCAGACTCGTTAACACGAGCTCACTCACACTCAGGCTCGCTCACACTCGGACTTACTCACACCCAGGATCGCCCACCCCTAGACTCACTTATGCTCACACTTGTTTGTGAAAGCGCGTGCCACATGCACGCGAACCAGACGCATGTTCGACCCCGCCCCCCCTCCAACGCGCGTGTTCGACCCCGCATGTCGACCCCGCCCCCCACATGTTCCCCCCGCCCAGTGCCGAAATGCCGAATAAGACAGCGCTCGCCTGTAGTAGGGCTCGGGAGGGGCTCTGGTCTTCGGGCCGCTCCTCGGGTCGCAGATCGGGGGGGCCTGCTCGATCCCGAGGCTCGCCGTGGTCCAGGGCCCGTGGCATCCGGCCAGGACGGTGGGCCTCCCGCGGGGGGCGCACGCGGCGAGGCGGCGACACCGGCGAGGCGGTGCCGATGCTGCTGAGGGTCCCCTCGTTCGGCGACCCCCTCGGGGGCTACCGCATGCTTGGGGCGCGCCCCTCGCGCGCGAGCGCGCGGCCGCCCTTCCTCGTTCTCGCCCATCCTCCTCGCCCTCCTCCTCCTCCTCCTCCTGCTCCGGTTCCTCCTGCTGCTCCTCCTCCTCCTTCTCCTCCTCCTCCTCCTCCTCCTCCTCCTCCTGCCCCGCAGGCGCCGCCAGGGGGTCCAGCGCCGACCAAAACGATCCATGCAGATCTCCGACATGTTTATGCCGTTGGTGCTTTGTTCAGCCCTCCGTTCCCTTCGTAAGCTCTGGCAAAGTTTCGCCATGCGCGGCACCGCAGTTCTCAACCTGTGGGCGGAGTAGGTAGTGGCCCGCCTTGGCTCCGACTGTTCTGGCTGGAGGGCGTGTCAGGAGTAGGAAACGGGCGGGTGTTTGCCTTGGCGCTACTTGTCCCGAACGGCTGCTGCCGCTCCTCCCGACACCCTTCCCCATCCCAGCCTCAGCCTGCCCAAGCGACGTGAGCAGCTTTCACCGCCGCCTCACCATGCCCTCCTCCTCAGCAGCGGAGCTCACGAGGCGCGATTCCGCGCACACCGCTCGGCGCGTGCGTCGAGATAGAGGGTCGGGGACGACCCACGTGCGATTGCAATTGGTGTTGGTTTGGATTATTTATGGGATCCGCTATGGCAGCTTTGTTGAGCGCCCCCCAAACAGCATCGAAAGTGCCAACATTAGTTTGCCTAAGCATGCTGCTTGCCACCACAATCGTCACCGATCTCAACACCAGATTGAAGTTCGCAAGCGCGGCGTACGACATGCAGTGCCAACGCTGAGTTGCCCATCTTGGAATAAAACGTGGTGCCATCCCTGAACAGCTCGATTGCTGCTGGACCCCAGGGTGCGTCGCGGTGGCCTCCCCGGAGCTTCTCTAAGAGGTCCGCTCGGGGTCAGCCGCGGGCTTCTTGCGCGCCCTCGGGAGGATGGATGTCGCTGTATCCTTGGCAGGGCCGATCCGACGTAGCGTCGTCGACAAGCGGTGCGGTGTCACGCCCACAGGGCCACGGCATGCCTGCGATGGCCCTCGGACGAGGCTTCGGCACAGCCGCATGTCCAGTGCCTTTGCCGTGTCGTTACTTTCGCGTTTAAGTGAACAAGCGTTTTCCCTGGGGGAGCAGGTCCTGCGTCGCCAACAGCTTGGGCTGCAGTCAGACCGAGGTATGAGATCGAGGTCGGTTCGGGGAGGGTGCCCTGATGTTCTTCGTGCTTGTTGGATGTTCTTGTGCACCCTGGGGAGGGTATCCTCGGATGTTCTGTGTATTTTGGCAAGACGAGGGTCTCGTGTTTTGAGGGAGGCACTTCTGCCCTAGGTCCGACTGTAGTGAAGACAATGCTTTGTGTTGGGGTATCGGCATCAGTACTGGGCTAGTGCAGACTTTGCGTGCTACCGGGAGTGTGGTAGAAGGTTAGCGCATCAATGTTGGACTGGTCACTCTGGGGCTGCTGGTAATGATGCGCGTCCTCGACGGTAGCGCGGGGCCCCATGGTTTGCACATGCGCCACCGCCACCGCGTCCATCTAGGGTGGAGTCGTCCAACGCACCTCACCCAATCAGGCGCCGCCGACAGCGCATGCTCTTTGCAGGGCGCGGGGGCGACGGTGCGGCATCCGCTGGATTTCGCAGGTAACGCGCTCCCGATTGGCCGGTGCAGTAATCGAAGAAGAAAAAACGCCATAAACATACATTGTTGGCGATCCGCGCGGATTTCTTGGATCCGCGCTGGGTCCCCCCTCCGGCGCCTCCGGCGCCGCTCCTGGCGCGCTCCGCGCGCCAGGGAGGGGGGTCCAGCGCGGATCCAAGAAATCAGCGCGGAGCGCCAAAAGTTTATGTGAATGCAGCTTTTTCTTCTTCTTCTTCTTCTTCTTCTTCTTCTTCTTCTTCTTCTTCTTCTTCTAAGTAATCAAGTGAGGAAAAAACACCTGGACCCGACAATTGGCGTTTGCTACACGGCCCTGGGCGTTCATTGTCCTGTTCGATTCCTTCTCTGGGCGCGTTCACCGAAAGACTTCGCGTGTCGGGGTGGTTACTGTGGGGGGGGATTCTTTGAGCTCCAAGTGAGCTTCGTGCTCTGAGGTGGCCGCCCCGCCCGCTCCCCTCCTCCGCGGCCGCCCTGCCTCTCTCTCCCCGCCTGGAGGGCTTCTCCTAAGGGCTTAGGCGACCCGTCCTCCTCCTCCTCGTCCTCCTCCTCCTTCTCCTCCTCCTCCTCCTTCCTACTCCTTCGCTTCCGCCTCCTCATCCTCCCTCCTCCTCCTCCTCCTCCTCCTCCTCCTCCTCCTCCTCCTCCTCCTCCTCCTCCTCCTCCCCCTCCTCCTCCATCTGCTCCTCCCCCTCCCTCCGTAGCCATTTTGGCTCAAGCCATCTTGGCTCAAGCCATGGCTCTAGCTAGCTTGGGCTGGCAGATGGCGCGGGAGCCCCTCCGTGGGGCAGCTTGGGCCCGGGCTGCCGTGGACCGCCTCGTCCAGCGGCTGGTGAAGGAGCTGCCGGAGGCCCGGCTGGAGATCGAGCGCCTCAAGAGCCAGCAGGAGCCAGCTGGCGATGCCGCCGTGGGCTCTAGGCGCGACCGAGAGCTGGCGGCGCGGCCGGCCTTGCAGGCCGCGGTTGCAGGCGCGCGCGTGTGTGCGGACGTCGCAGGCGCCGCCGCAACGCCGCGTGGCACGCGCGCCGCGTGCCAGTCGGCGGCTTTGCGACGGCCTCCGACGCGGCCATCGCGGAGGTGGCAGCAGGGCCGCGCCTCGGAGCCTTCGGCGGGCAGGCCGAGCGCGTGCCCGTGGAGTGCGTCGTCGAGATCTGCCAGGCGGAGGCCGCTGTGGTCTTTCCGCGTGTTGAATTCGATGTCTGCGTGGCGGAGCCTGCGGTGGAGCGGCTTGTGGAGGCGTCCGCGCGCCGCACGCCGCTGCGCTCCGCGGCGAGGCCTTACATCCCAAGGCCGCCCAGCGGGTGGGGCCGACGGAGCCGACAGCCCAGCAGCGACGAGATCGCCGAGGCGGTCCTCGAGGGGCTGGGCCGCGGGCCCCTGGCGCCGGCGGACAGGGCTGAGCCTGGCCCTCCCCGTGAAGGGGTTTTGGAAGGCAGACGTGGTACCGTGTCGTGTGGGCCCCCAGGTGGACGGTGCTGCAGGCGCGGGGGCGACGCCGCCGCAGCTGGAGCATCTGGGAGGCGAGGAGGACAGCGCCAGCGTCGTGCAGGGTCACTTTGATGACCTGAGCAGCGTCGAGGAGAGCTTCGACGGGCAGGAGCAGCGCATCGGCATCGGGGAGGTGCTGGCCAAGGCTGCAGGCCATGCTGGTGCTGAGCGTGGCGTTCTACACAGTCGGCGTGGGCAGAGCCTGGGGTTAAACCCAGGCTCTGCCTACGCTCAGGAAGGGATCCTGAGGGGTCCCCGCGCATGATTTTTTGCATGACCTTTTGGGTCTAGTCGCGCCTCCTCCCCCTCCCCCTGCTTCCCCTCCGCCTCCTCCTCCCCCTCCTCCTCCTCCTCCTCCTCTTCCTTCTCCTCCTCGGGTCGCCTATGCCCCCTTGGGGAAACCGTGCATCCCCGCCCCCTTGGCATCGCACACCTCGCTGTCCAGCGACCCCTGGGCCGCTCGGCTCTGCCCGCGCGCGCTCGCCAGGTTCTGCGACCAAAATCCAGGAGGGGAAAACACACAGACACGATGAGCTGTCGATCCCTTAGGAAATATCAGAAATATGCGAAATGGGGGGAAGACGAAAATCACAAAACTATTGAAAAATATTGGGGATCCTAGGATTTGTGTGCATTTATGCGTGCGTCCCCGGGCCCCTTCAACAAAACATTGGCCTGGCGAAGGACCAAAGCAGATGCGGCTGTGAGTGCCGCGTGGCCATAGCTCTAGGGCGGGCAGGTCCCACTACAGGGGGAATAGGCAAAATATAGTACAAACATCGTATGGGAACGATGTTTTGCATATTTTCTATGTTTTGTTCGTATATGTTTCACCTGTCGCTTAAAATCCGCCTGTGGGAGGACATGCCCGCCCTGACCATAGCTTCCGGTGGAGCTCCATACGGGGCCACGAATTTTTCGATGGGGTGTGCCGACGTGGGCGGGGAACGGCATGCGGACTGCGCCACGGAGGCACTCGGTGGAGCTCCCTATGGGGCCACGGACATGTACGAGGAGTCTGCCAAAGCGGGCGTGACGCCCACGTGCAGACAACGCCACGGGGGCACTCGGTGGAGCTTCCTATGGGGCCAGGAGGCGTGTGAGGGGGGTTCAGAGACCAGCGGGACGCCCCCATGCGAACTGTGCCACGGGAGCTTTAGGTGGTGGAGCTCCTTGTGGCCACGAAACGTGTGAGGGGTGTGCCGAAACGGGCGTGACACCCACATGCGAATTGCGCCACAGTGGCACTCGGTGGAGCCCCCATATGGCGCGACGAAACGTGTGAGCGGTGTGCCGAAACGGGAGTGACGCCCACATGCGAACTGCGCCACAAAAGACAGGGGCCACGAAACCCACATGCGAATTGCGCCACGGGGGCACTCGGTGGAGCTCCCTATGGGGCCACGGAGCGTGTGAGGGGTGTGCCGAAACAGGCGTGATGCCGACATGCGAACTGCGCCACGTGGGGCCTTAGATGGAGCTCCAGCCACAGAGGCAGTCGGTAGAGCCCCTTAACTAGGGGGCCACGAAACGTGTGAGGGGTGTGCCGAAAAAGGAGCGAGGCCCACATTCGAACTGCGCCACGAAGGCCGTAGATGGAGATCCTTATGGAACGACGAAACGTGTGAGCGGTGTGCCAGAGGAGTGGCGGGGAGGAGGAGGAGGAGGAGGAGGAGGAGAAGGAGGAGGAGGAAAGACGCGGGCCGCTGTCTGCTCAAAACGAAAACCCAGATAATGGTTGGGAAAACGTGGCATCATGATTTCCCGGTGCAAGCCACAGGCATGGGTTGGTGGCGTTGTAGAATGTTTTGAAATTGGTACCCGGTTGCGTTCCCCCGCCCGTGGGGGGGGCCCTGCAAAAGTTGACCCCCAAGCAACCCAAATGCCAACGCGTCCCGTTAGAAGACAACCAGTTGTTGGTGAAACGCTACGACCGAGGAACAAGTGCTTGCGTGTGCGCATGTATGTTCGTGAATGGACCGCATGGGGTTCGCACAGAGTTCTAGGTTTGGATGCTCGGCCTTGGTATATGGTGTGCCGCCTTGGCGCCGGACGCCAAGAGAGATTGATCGATCTTTTCTACCACAGCCATACGCGAATTCCGAGTCGGCCGACGGATCCCGAAAAGCCACAGCAAGTTCAATCGTCGGAAGGGGGTGTTTGGTCTCGGGTCTTAACTCACTATGCAGTTCGGCTGGTGACGGCTGTCGCAGTTGAGCGGTTTTGTTGTTGGACTCGCCGGGGGCCAGCGGAGAACGGATGCCAAATGGATCGAGCACTAATTTGTTCACCAAAGTCGGTTGCGGCACATCGGTGAAAACATCACGGGGCTTCTTCAATATTCATACGCCAATGTTGGAACGAGGCACTCCAGAGTTGCACGTCGCTTGTTCACTGATGACCCGTACAAAATGAGAAAGACACCCAGCTACACTTGGCTTGAGCGATTGCGTATGTTTCTTTCCTCATTCCATCCGTCCATCCATCCATGAATCCATGCGCCGCCGCCGTCCTCGCGGTCTTGTGGTGGTCGTCGCGGTTGCGGTCGTCGTCGTGGCCGCGGTCGTGGCCGTCGTGGTCGCAGTTGTGGTCGTCGTGGTCGTCGTGGTGGCCGTGGCTGTTGTGGTCGTGGGCGTCATCGTCGTCGTCGTCCCTCCTCCCTTGCGCAGTTCGGGGACATCGTGCTGCCAGGCTTGCTCATCTCGTATTACAGGCGCCACGACGTGCTCAGCAGGCCTTCCGTTGCTCGTTCAGCATGCTCGCGCCTGCTCATGTCTTCCCCCCGTCCTGCCCTGTGGAAGGCCTTCAGGCAGAGGCTGGGGTTTGTGTCGAGGCTACGGGCAAGGATGGGTGACGTTGATGGTGTTGGCGGTTCTGGTTGTCGCTGGCGATATTTTGTAACATATGTACACAACATTCGATAGCTCGCTTCGCTTTGCCTCCATATTGGTCCTTTTGTCCCTGCACGGCGCTGGGCACCATCATAATGACGAAGGGCGCCATAAGCTGGCAGAGCTTCAATACGACGTATTTCGGCGTGCGTCTGGGTGCACGAACACCCATCACTTGTAATCTGTACGTGTGAAATTTGTGCGGCGTCTCGGCGTGAGCGGGCACTGGCGTTGGGGACCTGCTTTCACGCGTCACCGAGGCCTTGCCAGGCTGCCGTGAGGGAGGATTATTTGAAATTTCGGGCGCCGTCTGAAATTGTGGAGAGTATTGACAGTCCCCACACAAACTTGCCCTCAGGGGTTCTCATGTGCGGTTGAAGTAATTGTCCTGGTGTGCCGAGGTCGGATGTCTTGGGGCTGTTCGGGGCCCCCTCCGCCGGCGCGGTTTGGGGCGGTCTCGGACGCATGGAAGGCTGAAGAAGCGACCGCCTTGGGTCAACATTGAAGGCCTCTGAGGCGGCCTCGCACGCCCAGTCGACCGAAGAAGCGGCCATACCGAAATCATGCGAATTTCGCTTTCTAGGAACGACTGATTAGAGTGTTTGGCGGGCTTCCTGGGGTCACTGTGTTGGTAGTCTTGGGTGTCTCTCGGGGCTCTGCGCTTAGCTCTCGTGAAGCCGTTAGATCGCTCTCGCAGTGTTCTGGGTGGCGTTTTGGGGCCAAATCCGCATGGGGGCGGCCTCTCTTCGGGCCGTCTCGGAGCCCCGTTAGGCGGTCTTGGGGCTCATTCTGGTTCTCTTCAAGCCGTCTTGCGTTGATGTTGGCGGCCTCTGGGCGGTCTCGGACGCCCGGAAGACCGAAGAAGTGGATATACCAGATCATGCAGAAATTTTATGGATCAAGCGTTCTTGTGTTTCAGTAGCCTCTGAAGGGTCTTCTTTGGGTGGTCTTGGACCGTCTCGGGCGCTCGTGGGGCCTTCTGGGTCTCCTCCTCTGATTGCTTGGGCTCGTGGTCTGGGGCCTGCAGGGGTGGAGGGCTCGGAAGACCGAGGGAGAACTCGACAGGGCCGTCCACGGAGGGGCCCAGGGATTATGTATGGGGGAGGGGGGCGTCCAAGTGGGGAGGGCACGTAAGAAGCGTACGTGTAGGAATCAGACTTGCACATGTACGCATACATACACGCATGCAGCGAAGGAAGCTGAGGATGAGGCGCGGGATTGAAGCTCAGATTGGTAATGAAAGATCCGGCGCGGTTGGGTATGGTTTGGGCCAGCAGTAGGAGTTGCGACAGGGCCAATGTCGGATATCCAGCCCGGGCGAGCCTGGAGCCAGCCAGGCATGCCACCCCTGAAGAGTCACCAGGACTTCTTCGTCACGGCTTCTTGTTTGAAGCGGCGGTGCTTGCGTCATTACGAGGACTTCTCACGAGGAGCACTCGTGCATTGAAAACGCGTGAAGGGGGCTTCGGCGAGAGCACGCTAGGGCTCATAAGAGTGAGGACGTCCAGCGCAGCAGTCAACAGCACGTCGAGACATAGTATGACGCTGCAGCAAAACGTAGTTCGTTTGTTGGAACAAAGCCTTGGGCGCGCAGGCGACAGCCCCACACTTCCAGAAAGTATAGTTGTTGATCATCTTAAGACCATGTTTCTTATCCACCCAAGGGATAGCGCGTGTTATCCCCCAGTTGCCCCCCCCGCCCCCCGTAACGGTAACGCCCCAGCCCGGTCCAGTGCGCGATCCCGCGCAGCCTAGGGCTTGTGGTGCACGCGGGCAGTAGTAGTGCCGTGGTGCACGCGGGCGTGCATTATGATGTGCGCAGGCACTGCGGTGTACACGGGCGTTGTGGCGCACACATCTGCCGTTGCAGCAGCAGCTGTGGTGTACACAGGCATAGTGGGTGTACGCAAACATAGTGGTGTACACATCACAAGCCCTTTGGTGTACATGGGCGCCGTGATGTACAAAATCGCTGTAGCGCGCAAGTTCGCTATGATGTAAGCGTGCGTTGTGGGCTATCATGTACCCACGCGCCTCTTCCTATTTTTTCCTCCTCCTCCTCCCTCTTCATGTTCGTCCTCGTCGTCGTCCTCCTTGCGCATACAGGACGCAGGCATTGTGGTGTACACAAGCATCGTGGTGCACACAAGCGTTGTGGTGCACACAGGCGGCGTGTTTCACATTCGCTGTGGGCACAGAATGGTGATGCAGGTGTGCGCGGGTTGTGCGTGGTGCATCACGCAGATCCGTTGGCGGTCTCGCGCGCGGATTCTTGCACCGAGCTGTTTTTAGATGATGGCGTGCGTCTTGGCAGTGCTCTTGGACAACGAGCGCGGGCCCCGAGCTGCCGATCCCACTGAGGAGTTCCTTTTACTCCGCATGCTCCTCCTGCATGTGATGCTGCTCCTGCTGCATTTCCTGCGTGCATCCCCTCGGCTGACGCCGCTCCGCGCGCCCCCAAACCGTGGTGTTCACGGACGCCATGGTGCGCGCAGTTGCCATGACGCGCGCCTTCGCTATGAGGTACACAGGCGTTGTGGGCCCAACATATCCGAGCGGCCTAAAGGTTTGAAAAAACAGCAGTCACAATCAGCTCAGATATTGAGTTTGTGACGTTCGGGCCTCGATGGTTTTCTGGAGTTCGGCTCCGTCGGTACCTTCAGGTCTACGCGAGCTTTGCGGTGTACGCAGGCACTGTGTTGCAGAGGGGATGCTGAAGCAGCAGCTGTGGTGCACGCGGGCGCCGTGGTGTGCACGAACAGTGTGATGTGCAAAGCCGCTGTGGTGCACGCAGTTGTTATGGTGTATACAGTCGCCGTGGTGCAAACACACATGCCATTTCTGTAGCGGTCCTGGTGCACAAAGACATTGTGGAGTACAGAGCCCGCGTTGTGTGCACAGGCACTGTTGGCTCGGACGGCGACGACGACGACGACAACGACGACGACGGCGGCAAGCCTCGGGGGCTGCGCGCCGCGGTCCCCCATTACCATTGCCCCCACCCCACCCCACCCCAGGCTAACACGTGTTATCCCCCATGAATTATTAAATTGTGTCATGATGTGCTTATCCGTCGTCTTACCCGTAATCGCGCTGGCCTCGTGCTTTTGATTCGAACAGTTTCGGATGTTTGGGCTTGCAGCAGCTTGCAGCGAGCCCCGCATGGTATTTTTTACAAGTCTTCCACGGCCAGCTTAGGTAAGCAGCTCCGGTCTGGTGCTGGACTCACAGGGACTCTCGCGGGGCCCGCGGCCGGAGAGCACATGACCATGGCCGCACTGGTTGGTGATGTGTAGCCAGCGGCTCCTTCTTCACGGTCGGGATTTTGTGGATAGCGTGTCGCAGCGGCGACCCTGGCGACACGTGATGCCTTGCGAGCGGATAGCGTGTCGCTCCGTTTCGCGGGCCGGGAGGCAGGGACCGGCTCGGGACGCTGGCTCTCGGGGGCCAGGCGGGCCAGAAGTGGCGGCGCGAAATGCCATCCCAAAACTCCCGACAGTATGCGTCGCGCCGCTGGCGGTGCTTTTCTCGGGGGCGCCCCTGGGGGGGTGAGGTCACTGGGGGCGTGGAGACTTCATGGCGAGGCCATGACGTCCCCCCGACTTCATGGCCCCTGTCTTCTGTCAACACAGTGTCTGCCCCACCCCCCCGCCCTTCATGGTGCGCTACACCCGCACTCTTCGTGGGTCCCCCTCTTCGGCGCACCCGATTCCTCGAAAGGCGCCAGCGGCGCTGAGTGCCGCTCTGGGGGGTGCTTGCAGCTGCAGGCGGCCTCTGGGACATGCCGAGTCGACCGCGTGCCAGCATGTGACCGGACAGCATGGCTTGCGGGTGACAGCTGCTGGCGGGGATGGCAGAGTGCCAGCGGCGGACGGGACGGCTAGCGCCGCCAGCGCCGCTGAGGCCTTCGAGGCGGCCGTCCATGAGATTTGGGCGTAATATTTTTGTCGCACATGACGTTCTCGCTCAGTCTTGGGCCATGAGACGTTCACAGATCGAGACGGCTCGAGACATGCTGCAGAAAGAGGGAGTCGAGGGCTTCGGTCGTGATCCGTCGCGATGTCGCGTTTTTTCGCGGCGGCGGGTATCAGGGTTAGAGTTGGCGGAGAGGGCCTACAGCGGCAAGACGGCGCAGGAGATGCAGGCAAGCTTGCGGAAGGTCGAGGCGGCGAGTCCGGTCGCCGCCCCGCTCTGGCGGCAGCGGAAGCGGGTCGGTGCCGTGGTGCGGCCCTTGGGCCGTGTGCTCCTCGGCCGCTCTGCGCCGCCGGGGGGCTCTCCGCTCCCTGAGGACCGGGCAGTGCCCGCTGCGGGCCACACGCTGTGCGGAGGACGCCCTCCAGCGCAGGCTCGCCGAGCGAGGCGACAGAGGATGTGCTGCGGGAGTGCTACACGGCATCTGGCGGCGAGCAGGTGGGCGAGAGGATGCACCTACGTTGCACCACTCACAGGCTGCACCACGCACATTGCACATCGAGAGGTGGCAGGAACCCATTGGTTTGGCTCCACTCTGGGAAACATTTCAATCGGCGACTGTGCCGATACATGCGTTGCTTGAGCAGGATTGTAGTTCTTGTCTCAGGGCCCCGATCTGTGTGCGCACGAACCATGACCGATTTGTGCAGTGGTGCACGTTTGAGGGCCATGGTCACCAACATCATGTACCTTCATGGTAGACCGCTGACTCAGGAACAGTGTTTGACTGCAGTATCTTACGTCAAACTGAGCCTCAGTGTCACCTCATCCATCTGTCCTCTCTCCGTTGCCATGTTTGGATCAGGCTCTTGTTCCTCAGGCCTGTGTGGCATGTTTCCGTGCAGTGGGTTGCCAATTCGAGCCATGTGAA